CTCCTGCTGGTTCCTCCTCTCCCTGCTCAGTTTGGAGCTCCCCCCCCCCCGCAAGTTTCGCGGGTTTTCTTCCTTCTTTTTACTAATGACCTGCAAAAAGTTGCCTGGGCCCAGCAGGGGGTGCATTTGTGTGAAGGAATATTATTCATTTGTGATTTTAACTGGAGCTCCTTTTCAAATATAGTCTGATCTTATCCAGGTAAGCTCCTTGGAGTTCATAAAGCTGCAGCCTCCCTTAGACAAAGGAAATTTAAGGCTAGGGATCTGGCAGTAAAGAAGTAGTTCAGATTTGGGATCTTGCTAAATCCAGCCGGTGTCGTCTGTGTTAAGCAAGCCATCAGAATAGAGTAACGGCAAAGTTGCTGGGCAGCCATCTCTGAAGAAGCACAGAGACGAATAGTTTTCATGTTTTTGTCTTTATAATATAGGGAGTTTTATTATCAAAACACAAGTTTATTATTTGCTTTTACTCTAAAGTTGGATTTAGTATAACAAAATTAAATCTGATCAAATCTTTTTTTCTAGGTTGAAGGTTATGAGCGACCTGGTGCAACTTGTAAGTAAGAACATACATAGTATTTTTGTTTGAATATTGATGTAAATGTACATTTTGCATCTGTATTTATGCAAGTTATACCTCAGTTACTCCTTAGTGATGGTGTATTTGATGAGATTACTGAGATTAATAGACTTGGTTTTCCTTGGCGTTGTCTCTGTCAAATTACTCTGGGGTTAAGGATTGTGATTGTATGTTTACAGAATTAGCTATCAACAAGCTGCAGGAAAAGAGTAACTGAAAAAGTACTTCACCTGGACAAAGGCACAGAAGTAGGCAGGAGATGAAAAAATTGATTCAGTCATTGGTCCAGACACTAATGAAAGTGCCATGGCTAGAAGGAATCCGGGGAGGGGAGAAGAGCAGGCTTCTGTGATGGTCTGGTTACATAAGAACATAAGAGACGCCAATGTTGGATCAGGCCAAAGGCCCATCCAGTCCAACACTCTGTGTCACACAGTGGCCAGAAATACCAGTGCCATCAGGAGGTCCACCAGTGGGGCCAGGACATTAGAAGCCCTCCCACTGTTGACCCTCCCAAGCACCAAGAAGACAGAGCATCACTTGCCCCAGAGCCCCTATCTATACCTTGTGGCTAATAGCCACTGATGGTTGCTGTGGAAACCAGAGAATCTAGAGGGAGAAATGACTGTTTGGATGGTAAACTGCTAAAAGCTCCATTTCTGAGCTGTCAGCTCAGTGTGTGCTTGTTAGGAGAAGAGGGGAGGCTGGATAAATACTGGCAGAGCAGTTGGTATCCAAATCCATTTACAGTTGAGGGAGGAGCAGCCGTTATGAATGGAGTTGCTGTCTTCCATTCTGCTTCAGAAATGACAGCTTTCTCCTTTGCCTTCCATGCCTCCTCTTGGGCATAGCTCCCATCCATTGTAGGAGATACTGTATCATGGGAGGAGGGAGAAAGAAACTCTGGTATTCCAGCAATGTCAGAAAGGAAGGGGGCACAATGAGCAACTGTGGGCTTTGTTTCTGTCCCCAGAGGTATTGAGATTCCTAGTAGAATTCCTTGTTGAAAATTCTAGTAATATGTCTCTCTTTGTAAGCAAAAGGATACCTGCTCTTTCTGGCCGTGCCGGAGTTGATAGTCGGGGTAGCACAGCCTGCTTTGTGTATGTGGGCAAGCAGCATTTTGGGTGAAAGAACAGGCTGAGTGACGTGTGGGCAAATTCCATTCAGTGAAATTTTGTGAGGGTCTGCATATTATACTCCGTAGGTATCTGCTTACAAATTTCCTTTCTAATTTTGTTTTAGCTTCAGCAGCAAAGAAGAGAGCAAGGTAGGTAACAAAATAAACCAATACATTAGTGAAAAATATTTGTATATTTCTAGTTAGGTGTGTACTTGGTCTTTCAGCTATTGTTTCTTGTCTGTGTGCTGTTCCCTGTTGTTGAAAGTACCTCACAGCTTTCAGTAGAATAATGGAAAAGGTTCACAGTGTGAACCATCAGTTCACTGTTTAATTCCAAACTTGGCTTCTTGTTCTACCTAGATGGGAACATGGGGAGACCTGCAAAATGGTGTCATTTTGAGGAGTGTGTGTGTAACACCTCCATTGGATCCTCTAGTACAGAGCCTTCCTGTGGCATGAGGCTTTTATTTTTATTTTTCTATAATCCACCTTTCTCACAGGGACTCAATTACACATAGGGATCAATGCAGTCAACAAAATGGGACATTCATTAGCCAGTGCATTCAGATATTAGAAGTCTGGAACCACCAGAAAGAACAGGAGCATAGCATTAAGTATTCACATGACACATTAAGCAGTACAGAGATTACATGATAGGATCCTACTTACAATATGCTGCATAGAGCAGTAAAGACCACTAGTATGGTCGTTTCACCAACTAAGGAGTATTACTTTCTTTTTTAATACCTTGGATAAACTTTGAGTCCTTGCTGAAATTTGAGTGTCAGGATTCTTTTGGACTGAAATGACCTTTACTCTACTATACTATGGCTGTGTGGCCGTACTCGTAGCTTCTGAAAAGTCCATATTAAATATTTGTCAGACTGATTTTCAGTTCTCTGTGAATAGATTTAATACTGTTCTCTCCTGAATTGGTTCTGTTGTAACTTTGGGGAATTTCAGACAGGCGATAGATTCCAGAAGGGAACCGGTTCTCAAACGGGTTCTGGTCTGTCATTTCAGACAGAACCCGTTTGAGAACCGGTTCCCTTCCGGAATGTATTTGTCATTTCATACACAAACGCTTCAGTTCAGTCCTGTTTAGGAACCGGGACTGAAGTGTTTTACCTGTCATTCACTTCCAAGTGGTCTCCAGTGCCCTCTCCCGGTTCCGATACACTTTTTCCCCACCTTTTTCGCCCGCGCTGGCGATCTCCGGCTGGGGGTTTTTTTTGTTGAACGTTTGATTTATAGCGCTATAACGGAATAGCATTATATCAATCCCATTGGAATGCATGGAGTATTTTGTTATACTGCTATAGCGCTATAAATTGAACGTTTTTTTAAAAAATCGATCACCTGCGCGGGAGGAAAACGGCGGGAAAACAAAGCGGCGCAAGTCTGAAATGCCAAACCGCTTCTGATCCGGCTCATTTCCGGTAGGGGCAAGCTCTGTGTGAAATGGCAGCCCTGTACCGGTTCACTTCAAAACGGATGATTGCCGGCTTGAACTGGGTAATGTGAAATTCCCCTTTACCTCTGTCTTGATGTTACTACAGCCTGTTTGTGTTACCATCTATGTTTTATTACCATACCAGGTGAAATCATGTTTTAACAAGTTGAGAACTGTGTGTGGTGAATAGAAACCAGTTTTGTTGCACTCTCTTAACAGTTGATTCTTCTTTCAGGTGGTCAGGTAGTTTCAAGCCTGAGGTATGTGTCAGTAACACTTTATTACTTGAACAGGGGTGTAAACTCCCTTCTGAATTTCTCTGATCTTAAATCACTTTGTATATATTAACAGTTAAAGCAGGTCTCAGTGCTTCATTAATATACTTAGTCCAAAGCAGGTAGGAGATTGGTCGTGGTGATCTGAGGGAATATCATAGGGTTCTTTGAAGTACTGGCTAATGGTTCCCGGTGCTGTAATCCATCTTTCAGACGGAAGTGTCTATTTAGAAGTTATGTCCATTTTCTCACTTGGAGCAGGAGGCAGGGATGACTTGCAGCTTCCTGTCTTCCCTGCTGGGAGGCACCCTCTTCTGTTTTTGTTTCCTGCCTCTAAGTACGGTGCAGGGAATTGGAGGGAGCTCTGTTGAATAGATGGGGTAGTCCCCTGATTGTGCACTTCCACTGCAAAACTCCAGACAGGTACCTGACAGCTAACTGTAATGAAGCCGTTCTAACTGTTGGTCTTTCATTGACTCAGGTTCTAGATCCTAGGCTCTGCAGATTTTGGGAAGCTTTTGTCACCAGATGAGACTTCTGTGCCATAAAATATATCTTGTCTTATTTGTTTGCATTGCTTGTTCTTACAGAATGACCCAGTTCTGAGACAGAAAGCTCTGGAATACATGGTAAGGGAAAGATTTTCTGATAGTTGGTTTTGTGAGTTCTTACAGGTATAAAAGATGACCTTCTTAAACCTCAAATCTTTACTTTTCAAGCAGTGTTCTTACTATAGTCATGGGATGTATTATGTGGTGTCTAGTATATCATGTGTGGGATTTGCATTTAGTCTGTTAATTGTATATAAATTGCTGCATAATGCATTTAATCAAAAAACTGTTTGTGATTGGGGGACTTTTAATTCACTTACATGAGCAGATTTCCTCAGAAGCATACTTTGTATAATATCCACACCTGTAACAGTCTCTTATTGCTATATTTCTCTTTTGAAGACCATAAAGTATTTTACAAATGTATATTTGTTTGGAACAATTTAAAGGACCATTTAGGAAGGAGTGGTGTTGATAGGAATGTTTTTGAGAAATTACTGAGAGATACTGCCACTGATGCAGCAAGGAGCTTCCACTACTAAATTGATCTTGTCCTTTTTAAGATGGGGTAATTCCTTCAGTACATCCATACTTAATAGTTTCTTTGATAGATTCTGTTAATGGCTGGCTCTCCTTTTGTTATCAGGATTCACCAGTTTGACCTATTTGAATATATAAAGAGTAGTTTTGAGTCTGGGAAGTAAGGAAATAAAGAACTATAGTTTTTGGTTGTTCAGCACCATTTGCTGGCTAATAAAGAAGCAAGTTTTATTATGAAATAGCTCAAACAGCTCTGAAAAGCTAAACGTTTTTGCAGATTGAAACAGGAAATATCTCTGAGCCAGTTCTCTGCAAACTTACCTGGGAGTATATCCTACTGAAAATAGTGGAATTAGTGGATTTATTTATGTCTAGGATCAGACTGCAAGTTACGTCTACTTTTAGAATGCATCACATAGGACAGCAGTTCTCAGACATTAGCAAGTTCGGGAACCGCATGTTGATGTAAAAAATTTCATGGAGTCCCCTTCCAGTCATGAAGGACTCCGTCCTCTTGTAGTCTTAAACCAGTACAGTGAGAACCAGATTATGAGCTAAAATACACTTAAAGTAAAAGGTTTTGTATTCTCTGTACACGGCCTACACCATTAAGTCTCCACAGGTAGCTAATTCTGTAGGGTCACAGCTCAAAAGACCCTGGTCAAACTTCTGATCCCTCTCACCCTCTGTGTTGGAGATGGTAAGGAACTTCCTTATTCAGCAACTTCTAGTCATGCTAGCTGAAACAGGGATGCAGAGGGGCCTGGAAAAACATTCAGAGATGCTCAAAGAAAAAAAATGAGCAGTACTAGATAGAGAGAGGCTGGCATCACATACAACCTGAACTTCTAGTATTTGGTTGAAAACTGACATTTGTGGTTATTGTCTGCCATTAGGAAAAAGTAGTGCTTTATGGAAAGCAATGCAGAATGAAGTGACTTCACATACTTAAATGCTACATTCATAGCCTTTTAAACTTTTATAGGACTTCTTTGAGATAACATCTGACACTGAAGCAACTCAAGTAATACGTATTGCACAGTCTTTGTCAGAAGCTTTGAAGGGTTTTTGTGAAAAGAAAGAAGCTGTAAGTAATCTTATTTTAATACCAATTTATTCTGTGGTTTCTAAAAGCTTGTCTAGTACTCATTTTCTGATTCTGTGTCAACAGCAGCAGATCTTGTATCAATTATGCTGATTAGGGAGACATTTCTTCTGTTCATGTTAAAAGCTTAAATTAATTGCATAATAAACTTCTTGCTTGCTCATATGCTTTAATTTTTCTCTGCTGTTTAGTCTTTGCTTCTTTGGCCAGTTGGTCTAGTGGTTGGACCATCCTAGACCTTTATATTTCTGTATACACTTCTTGCAATCTAATTTTTGTGTATTGCTCCCTTAGCTGGTATGCTGGGTTGCTTTGCAGCCAGCTTCAGAAAGTGCCTGGTTTATTATCCAAGCACTTGTGAATAGTGTTCTGGAATTGTTTAAGAATTTTTGTTTGCTTGCTTTTTAAGCCAACTTGGGATGTGATAGGCAGCTGCTTTCATAAAAATTACTTGAAATACTATAGTGTCTTAGATTTTTGCCCTCAAGAGGTCCAGCTGCCAAAGAGACAAGGCACTTTAAAAACTGATTAATGTAGGATTTATTACTTGTCAGAAAAACAAGGGTGAAGCATCTGAATAGGAAAACCCTGCCTACATGAGCACAGCCTCTCTCCCTCTGAGGTGAAGGACATCTTGGTGGTTCCCATCCTCTGTTCAGGGAGGCAGGAACAAAGTCTTTCCACTTCCTGTCTCCTTGGTGGGAGCCGCCCATCTCCTCGGTTCTTTTCCTGCCTTGACAGGGAGAGCAGTTCAGCATCGGCTCTGTTCACCTATTCTTTTCCTCTTCTTTTTGCTTCTTCTAACCCTATCTTGCCTGCCCTTTCTTATTTCCCCCAACTCCCTTACTGTCTTTCTCTGTCTCTCCTGCCTCCACAAGGCTATCTAAGGGAAGGAGTTTGACTGTTGGGGGAAAGTGCCCCTCAGGGGTGGCCATTTTGGTAGGCCCTAAAACAATTATATTTACAATCTGCCAAATGGCTTCTAATGAGCCCTCTGAAGGAGTCTTGTCTGAAGTAGAGACAGGAGCTCTGCTCACAGCAGTCACTGCTGAGCAGGATTCACAAGGAGCCAGCATGCCTGGAAACTTCTCAGCATCAAAAGCGTGCCAAAAGAGGCATCATTCCTCCCAGCAGCCAGATCTTGCAGTGCCATGTCTGAGCCCACTGCTGCTGCTGATCTTGCCAACTGGTCATGAGAGAGGCTGCAGAGTGGTTTCTCACTTCCATAAGCCATATAAATGCTGCAGGACACAGCGAGAATCATCAAAGCCAACTTCAGATCAACCAAGTTGCAGCATTAACTGGTTCCCGTTTGGCAGTGGTGAGACCGGTCTACTTCTGAGTAATGTGCAGGGATCGGGTTCTCTCCAGTGTCTTCCCTCAGAATTATAGCATTATACTCAGACCAACACCAATGTGGTGTAGTGGCTAAGGCTGCTGGACAAGTATGTGGGGGACCCAGGCTCGAGTCCCTGCTTTTGCCACGGGAGCTTGCTAGGCAACCTGAGACCAGCCCCACTCTCTGACTAACCTACCTCACAGGGTTGTTGTGAGGATTAAATGGAGGAGAGACGGGAGGAGACTGTCAACTTTTGTCAGAGTGAAGGCGACAGGTGCAGGTCCCAATCCAGGTGGTCCTCCTGCACTCCTCCCAGATAAGGATATAGTGGAACTCCACAGTTTCATCCAAAGAGAGACTTACCTGGCCTATTAAGGCAGCTAGGAAGAAACCCTTTAGCAGAAGAAAGAGGGAGGGATTCCCCTCACTGAGTCCCAGGCATATACTCTGATGTGAGGTAGAAGAAAGACATGGGCTGTTGCTCAGTGGTTGAGCATTTCCTTCGCATGCAGAAGATCCCAGGTTCAACCCCCAGCATCTCCACTTAAGGAGAAGGGGATGAGAGAGATATCCCAGAACAGTCCTAAGATCCTTAAATCAGAGGACTATCAGTACCTATTATCTAAGACTATGGCAGCCTTAAAACTACAGGGGGGATCCTCTGCAGAGGGAGCCAGATCCTCCTACAACAAAACCAAGGGGCAGATCCAAAGGGAGGAAAGAATTCTTCCCTAGGCTTGGTGTAACAAAGTATTCCCCTTACCAGAATTCCTCGAGAAACGGTTAAAGACAGAATGGGCAAAACCTACGGCCAAGAGGCAATCTCCAAGCATTATTAAGAAACCGTATGCTGATCTTTCACGAATCAGTTTTTTGCAGGTCCCATTCGCTGACGCTCCTGTAGCAGAACTACAATCATCTGGACCTTGTCAGAAGGTGGCAAAGGCACAATCAAAGACAGCATGGGGAAACCGGCTGATCTCACCTTCAGGGAAGCCGATGAAGCCACTACCACCTTCTGCAACAGCCTCAACAGTTTCAAGAGCAGTCCACTGTCTGCTCTAGGGGTTTTATTCACCTTATCCCAGCCTGCAGCCGTCATTTGGTGGCAAGAGTTAACAGAGCACCCAAAGCCACCTCATTGACAGCATATGCAACACTGGATGCCTTTAAACATTTTTCATCCATGGCTAGGGCACCTGGGGCAATCGCAGGTAGAACCTTGTGGCTCTGAGCCTGGCAAGCTGACATTCGTGCTGAGTCTACAGTTGTGGCCTACCTGTGTCAAGGAGACAAACTAGTTGGGGATGCTCTTGACAAAGGTACAGAAAAGCAGCCTTTGCTCCCGATGCCTGTTACCAAGTTTTCAACAAGGACAACAGGAGAACAAATTGGGAATCCTCTAGACAGTTGAGAAAAATAATCCAAGTCATGCCTTAGAATTTGCCTTAATTTAGTGCAATAGCATTATTGCAGAAGGCAATAACTAACTGCATGCCCCTGATAAAACAGAGAGGCCTTTAGCTTACAAGCGCTAACATACAGAAACAAGGGAAAACGTTTGGTAAACCTTAAACACCAGAGAATGCTCTACAGCTCCCCCTGGGATACAGGTGGACTGAACTACTCTTTCAGCAGTATCCACAGTAACTAGACTCCTGTAGGCTGTTGCTTCTTCAGCAGTACCCTGTTCCCTTGGGTACTGCTCCACTTCTTTACCCGTATACCCCCACCCCAATTGCCTGTGCGGAGTGGTTGTGGCCTCCTTTTGGAACTTATTGCTGGCTGTGGCCCCAAACACGGAGTTTTCCATGCATTTCACTCTTTTGATTCAGGACATGCATGATACAGTATACTTCGTTATACTCGCTGATGAAAGTCATCAGGTACTGTTTCCTCTTGGTGTCACAGTTACCATGAGTCCACAATGTCGCTATGCACTATCAGTAGGAGTCACTACCAATGCTCCTTCTAAGTTGTGGAGTTTTGTGAGCAAAAATTCTACTTTATGAGCTCCTGGCATTAAAGCTGTGAGCAAGCAATTTGACTACTGCATAAATTAGTTTGCTCTGGAGCCCTCCTTCCTGAGCTCAGACAAAAATGTGTGAGCCAGAGGCTAAAAAATGGTGAGCTAGCTCACACTAACTCAGCTTAGAGGGAACACTGGTCACTACCTTTGGAAAGCCAGACATATGTAGGACTGATCCCACCTTTAAGCTGAAGGTGGATTTATCCTGTCACAGATCCCAAGAGATCGGCCTTTCATCTTCGCGTCCGAATCTTACTTATCCTAATTGTCTCCTAAGGAGCCCTGCTATGCAGGGGAGGGAGGGCTAGAAGCCTAAGGTAATACATAAATAAATAAATATAGGAAAGGCTATGATTTACACTAGATAAATGAAGGTGTTTAAATCGGTCATCAGCAATATCTTCAAGGCTTGCATTACTGAAACCTATAAAGTCCTCCCCAAAAAGCATCCCAACTGGAATTACCACTCATTCACTTTGATGTGGTGCAACCAACACAGTATTTGACAGTCACATTACAGTTGAAGAAGTATGCAAGGGATCACTTGGTCAACAATTTCAACCTCCGTAAAATACTACAAGATGAACATCTTCGGATTGGCTAATGCAGCATTTGGCAAATGAGTCTTGCAACGTATTCTGGAAGCAGAGGATGATTACCCACCCAGTAAACGAGGACACTGCTTTGGGAGGTCCCGCCAGGATATTCTTCACCTCAGAGGGAGAATGGACCGTTGGATACTTACCATGAAGAGTCCTTCTCCTCTGAGGAAAGGAGGACATCTTGTCCCTCTCAAAGTCATCATTCTTCACCTTTCTGTCAGCAGATCCACTTCCTGTTGTATTGTTATCCTACCTTGCTGTTACTCATTTCTCTGGTTTGTTCTAGAGTGTTGATCTGTTCTTAGTTTAGATTGTTTTTTTTTAATTAGTATTTTCATGTAACATGTTTGCAACAAAAATCTCATACATTTTGGAACACTGTACATACTATTACATCATATTATACACAGTGTCACTGGCAATGTCTGCTTAATATGTATATATTAAGAAAAAAGTTTCCCCCCTGTCGTTCCCGGTGATTGCTTAAAAGACTATTTATTATCTTCTCCTTAAACTCCCAAACAAACAATACATAATTGTTAAAGTTCTTTAAAAAATAAAAATAAAACGACTCCAACAATATTTATACCTTCGTGGTGGAGTTCTTGGAGGTTGCCACCTCCCTATGGGACTTTGGAAATTCCCAAAGGGGGTCCTTCCCTCAGACCCCGCCCTATGGGAGGTAATGAGGGAGTTCCTCCCGAATGCCTTACCCGCAATGCTCCTATTATATAAAGATATCAATATATGTAAAAATTAATGATAATAGAACAAAATACCTAAATTTAATCTAATTTTTTCATTTTCTGAGGGCTCCAACAAATATTTTTTCAGAGGCTCTTGAAGGTTTTTCTGTAAGTCTTATAGTCCATCACAGTAAAAGTTTCTTATATAGCTTCATTTTCTAAAGCTCTTAACATTTCTTCTCCAGACTTAACATCATGAACAGTGAAGACTCTTATTTTTGTGGGTTATGTGTAAATGTCCTAGTGGAAGCCAGTGATAACGGATGTGTTTTTCTGCCAGACGTTGAGTGATTGATTTCAAATTCCGTCGTGCTGTTAAAATCTCTGGTGGCAAGTCTTGAAATACTTGGACCCAAGTGTCCTCCAGTTTTAGTTTAGGTTGTTGATAACTGCTTTCGGAGTTGCAAGGACTGAGGAGATGGGCAGCTCCCACTAAGGAGCTAGGAAGTGGAAAGACTTTCTTCCTGCCTCCCTGAATAGAGGATGGGAACCACCAAGATGTCCTCCTTTCTTCAGAGGAGAAGGACCCTTCACGGTAAGTATCCAGTGGTCCGTTCTGTGTGGATATCATTTCAGATTTCAGAACAGATTTAAACAGAAGGCAAATGATTTCTGAATGTTTTCCCAGTATCTTTTTTCTCTAAAGCTTTCAGTTTAGAGATCTCATCCTTGGTTGTTTGGTCTAGACTTGCTAACAGCCTCCTTTTGGAATTGGAATGTTCCAGTCTCATTGGAGATGGACATACTTCGGACATACGTTCGGGCATACTTTGCTTCTCTCTTTGTATAAAAAGGAACCAAACTAATTCTTGCTGAGAGTCTAGATAATTTCTGGTAAGAACACAGCTAGCAAGAGTCTCCTTTTCTACTGTTGTTCAGTTGTGTGTGTCGTCTGAAAGTCAGTTAGCTCCATAGCAACTACTGAGCCATTGCTTTTCTGCAGCCTTATCTCACTACACGCAGTTCAAACAGGCAATAAGATTTCTTTGTTCTTCTAGCTCAAGCATATTAAAAGCCTCCCACCACTGATGGCACCAGGAGGCAGAAATACAAAGAAGCAAAGACCTAATAAACCACGCAAAACCTTTGATGATAATCCAGGTACTCTGTCAACTGTAAATAATATACCAAATCCCCACCCCTACCCCCATATCATCATTAACTGTATTTGAAGTTCCGCATGTGTTCAGTATTTGACTACCACTATGACCTTGGCTTATTTTTAATTCAAGTGTAATATTCTCTGGAGGAGGTGAAGTTTGATGGAGTTCTGTTTATCTGTGGATGTTTTCAGCCGCAGGTCATTAGGGTTTCTTTCCTGAGTGCTTCTAAGTATGAATGGTTCAATATGATCTCCAACCAGGCCAGTTGGAAGCATCCCGGGATTCAAGGTCTGCTGACGTACCACCTTGTGGGAAGGGAGAGTTTTGAATGTGTAGAGATGGTTGGATGAGTGAACATGAGTATCAGATTAGTAATATGACTACACAATTGGAATAAACTGTAGAACGTAACCTTGCACTCTCTTATTCAGATTTTTCTTTTGACAGGAAAAGCCTGGCAAACCTGATTATATGGGCAACTGGTAGTGTACTTCGTTTATAGCTAACACAGCCCTGTTGATATGGTGTGCTTTGGTCTTGTTGTTTTTCCAGGAGATACGAAGTGGACTCAAGAGCATACATCTAGTGGACTTGCACAGTCACAGGGCCTATTGGGAGAAGCTCCAAGTGGACTTGCACAGTCACGGGGCCTATTGGGAGAAGCTCCAAGTGGACTTGCACAGTCACGGGGCCTATTGGGAGAAGCTCCAAGTGGACTTGCAAAGTCACAGGGCCTATTGGGAGAAGCTCCAAGTGGCCTTGCACAGTCACAGGGCCTATTGGGAGAAGCTCCAAGTGCTTTATATACCCGCCAGATGAAGGAGATGACATCTTCCTATACAGTGAACTCCAATTATCTTGCAACAATGTCTGCCCTCAGGAAATCACTTGCTCCTCAGTCAGGAAACTCTCCTGGTGGAATAAGTGAATGGATGAAGCAGTTCAGCCAATCCGCTTCTGCTTCTTTCCAGTCTAATCCAGTTAGAGAAAAATCTCTCTGCAGTACATCTTCACAAAGCAGTTACCCAACACAGTATCCCCAACAAAGCAGCACTCAAAAACATGATAACAGAATGACAGCTACTGAAATAAGAAGTTGGAATAGTATGAGGGATTTCTATTCTGCTACAAGAGATTATCCAGCCAGTAGCCCTTCAAAAGATTTTCCCTCTTGGTATAATAATGGGAATAATAATCAAATGGCTGTATCTCTTCCTGCGGCAAGTAATAGTCTTGGCTGGCCAAAATCATCTGGATACCAACAACCAAGTCTCCAAGCTGATGGAAAAGCCTATCAGCCTCCCTTTTCTGGTGGCAGTTCATACAATGCGTATCAGCAACAGAACATAGAGCAGAATAACAAACCTACTGGTCTGTCTTCTGACATTGTGAGTCAGCTTCGGGGAAAGGATCCGGCTACTCTGGCAAGGATGCTTCAGGAACTGGTTCCCCACTATCCAGATCTTCAGAGTAAGTACATGAAATATTCTAACAGGAGTTGACCTTACAGTACAAAGGAACTGACAAGCAGGTTCTGCACAGGAGACTTTCTTTATCCACAACATCTCTGCCTGGCATTTGGCAGGGAACAAAAATCTAGCAGCATCAAGGGCAAATTTTAAGTGGCATTAAATTGTAGTGAGCCATGCTGCAAGAGTAGAGAGGCACTGGGGTCGAGCAAAATCTTCCTAATGCAAGATCATATGGCTCCTTCAGAATATTGAAACCAAGTTTCTAATGGGGGATTATACACATATTTTGCTGAAATACCCAATTATGCCCCCTGAAGGATGTTACTGAAAGACAGCTGCAAAAGTACACAACTGTCTTAATCTTCGGACATCTTTTGTTATGAATGCAGAAATCCATGGGCATTTCTCCCGTATTCCCCAAGCCAAGAGTGCAGCAGAACATCTTGGCTCTTCTTGTAGCTGCTGTCTAGGCATGTTAACTGTAAATAATATACCAAATCCCCACCCCCGTATCATCATGAACTGTATTTGAAGTTCCACATGCGTTCAGTACTTGATTACCACTATTACCTTCACTTATTTTTAATTCAAGGTGGGTAGCTATGTTGGTCTGAAACAACAGAACAAAGTTTGAGTCTAGTGGCACCTTGAAAACCAACAAAGTTTATTTCTGGGTATAAGCTTAACTTCGCTGGTCTTAAAGGTGCCACTGGACTTAAACTTTCTTCTGTTAGCTTTCTGTATCGATAAATACCCAGTTATAAAGAACCATGGGATGAACCTCACACCGACAAAGCAGCTTGTAGTATCTTAAAGTATTTGCTAACTTTGTAGAAGTTCTCAGACTGACAGTTATTTAAAAGTGCTTAATAAACCTTTTTCTCTTTTCTCTCAGAAATTGATATTTATACACTAGCCCAAGCTCTGAGTAGACTCAGCTAAGAATGAATAGGAAGAAATGAAGATTCTCCATGACAAAGCGAAGCGACTACTTAGATCTGGCCTTGTAGAAAGTTTCCTGTCTATCCCCAAGACGATATTTGTTCTGTTATCTAAAATGAGCTGTAGAGGTATACATGCTGTTTTATACACACTGTTTTAAGACCGGCTGCTTACTGGTAGGAAGTGTAATACCTTTTATTAGGAACAAACTAACTGACACAATTTGGTCATAACAAAAGGCATTGCAGAGATTTCTTGTCTTTGGATTTTGTGTGGTCCAATATGGCTGTGTAACCTTTTCATTCCATACTAAACCAAGATATGTTGTTCTTCAAAGTGTCTTGAAACCCCTGCTGTTTCAATTTAAACTCTGTTAATAAAACAACTGGATGTGGCTTTGTTATACTATGTAAGAATAAAGATAATTCTTCCACCATGGGAATTATGAAATCTGGGGATTTCCTTCTACTTTAGATTAGCATGACAGAGAATACAAACCTGCTGCCTAGACCTCTTGTACGAAATTTACTTAAAAGTGTTGCTTGAAAACTAATTGTATTCCTGCTCCATTTCCCCCCAGCATGTGCAGCAGACTCCAGTTGTGCATAGCCATCACTTCCATGTGTTCCAAGTGTTTCACATGAGATATACAGAAAACATCATTCCTAAACAAAACATTGTTTCTCCTGCAGGGTTTCCTTATGTAGCTACAGTGCAGCATAGAGGATGAATACTGGTAGTATCTAACTTGTACCTGTTTGCATTTTTGCTCCTGAACTATAATCTATGCTGGAGATTAGCATGGTTAAGGACATCAGAGAGGATGACTTGCTTCAAATCACTAGAGACGCCATGTCCCCGATCTTAGGCGGTGGGAGGAAGAGTGAATTGCAGGTTGTGTAGATTATGGCCCCCCAAGTGTTAAATCCAAAGAAAACTTTTTGTAAAGTTGACCGGGAACCCATGGTCCTGCAGGCACCTCAGGGTCTCCTCGGTGACCAGAAGAGAAGGGTCTTGACTTTTGAACCGCATTAGCAGGTCGCCCAGATATGGATGGATGTGGATTCCTAGCCTCTGAAGATGCACTACTGGGTTGATGAGTATCTTGGAGAAGAGCCAGGGAGCCGTAGACATGCTGAATGGAAGTGCCCGATATTGAAAGTGCCAACCGTCCATGCAGAACCTGAGATATTGCCCATGAGGGGTGGATTGGAATATGTAAATAAGCCTCTGTTAGGTCTATCGAGGTCAGAAAATCACCTGGTTATAGTGTCTCTGTAATGGACCTCAAGGTGGAAATAGCAAAGCTTGATATATTTGTTTAAAAACTTGAGGTCTAAGGTGGCCCTCCAATTGCCATTCTTGGGGACCGTAAAGAGGATGTACACTCCCCGTCCCTAATCAGGGTGGTACAGGCTCAATCACCTGGATATCTAGGAGCTTTTTAACAGCTTTGTTGATAACAGACCTCTTGGGATCTTTGCCGCTGGTTGGTAAGGTCAGAAATCTTTCCAGTGTGGAATTTGATTGTGTAGCCTCAAAAGATGACTTCCACTGCCCATGAGTCTGCTTGAGATGCTTCCCAGGCTGAGCAATAATGAAGGAGCCAAGCCCCCACTGGAAGAGACACGCAGTCATGACTGTTTGGGCTTGGGATCCCGATCACTTCTGTCATGTCTGTTGGTCTTGTTAAACTTGGATCCAAACTAACCTCTTTTGAAGGAGGTCTTGGATGACTCTAAGCTGGGCTTCTTGCCATCCTTACAAAATCTGGTCAGGGAATATTGGATGCGAAAGGAATGGTTCCCTCATTTATCCGTTCGGCGTATGTTCTGAGGCATACCCTTTTTCTTTTGGTGTGTTTCAACCAGGATCTTGTCCAGGCCTTCCCCAAACAAGCGGTCCCCCTAGAAAGGATAGGCAGTGACAATGGCCTTGGATTGGAGGTCTGCCTCCCAGGCTCTCAACCAAAGCAGCCTTCTCATTACCAGGATTGAAGTCATGGCTCTAGAGGTGAACATCAGAATGTGTCATCTGCTGTGAAGGATGTAGCTTTGAGGACACGAGTGGCCCCTTCTGGCTGGGGCAAGTGATGTTCTGTAATCTTCGTGGTCTCTCTGCATCACACCCATGGGGATTATGCGCCTGCGCTGATCCGAATCGGTGGTATGCAAAGCTCACAAAGGGATTTTCGCACCTTTCCACCGGGCATATGCGGGAACCCCACTGCGCATGCCCAAGGAGGAGGGGCACGGACATCCCGCCAGTTCTCTTCTGACTGCCGCACTGTTAACAGCTTGTTTTCTGCCGGTTGGTGAAGAAGTGTTTTTTGCTCTCACGAGGGATACTCCAAACCTAATTTTTCTTCGCTTCCAGCGCTTATTTTATTATTATCCTTTTTTTAAAAAAAGGACTTTTCATTGAGGGTTGCCGCTGCCTCAGGCGGCTTCCCGCCTTCTCCCCCCCCCCTTCCTGAGGTAAAAATTTCCTCACCTCAGCGAAGGATTTTTTTCTTGTCTTTTGGGCCTTTTTATTTTATGGCCAAAAGAGGGGGTTGTTTTAAATTGCGTGTTGGCTGTGGCAGTAAACTTGCCCCTCATAACGGCCACACACACTGCATTATTTGCCTTGGGGAGACTCATCGCCCAGACACTTGCCACCATTGTGCGAAGTTCTCGAGCCAAACTCGCAAGAACAGAGCCGTGAGACTTCGAGTAGCGCTTTGGGAATTGGCATTGTCCCCTGTGCCTGTGGGAAATATGTCAGCCGAGACTCCTGCACCCTCCCTATCAATGGCGACCAAGTTGACATCAGGAGGCACCTCGGCATCGAAACCCCCACACCGTGCAAAGTCGGCATCGGATGGGGGGGAGTCTTCTAAGTGCTTGGCGTCGAACGAGGCCTCATCCGCCTCTACGCCAGCTAAGAAGAAGAAAAAAGAGAAGCATGAGAAACCTAAGTCTTCTCTCACTGGCACTATGCATCAGTCTCAGAAAGTGAGCAGCGATAATGTGCAATCGGGCTCTGCATTACCCGCTCTCCAGCGGGCGCAACCCGACGTCGTTGAGACCCAGATACCGGAGCTGCATACAATTGAGTTACCGGACTCGCCAATCCGGCAACTGAACCCCCCGGTATCGGAGGCTTCTGTCGATTTCGGACCAATTTCGGCCTCACCACTTGAAGTTGAGGAAATGGTTCCGCATCGGCCTCGTGCACATCGTTCCCAGTCGGTGATTTCCTGGGAAACTGATCGGTCGGCACCGAGCTCTCGACACCATCGATCCCGATCGCCCAGAGGCCACAAATATCGATATCGACCGGAGGAGTGCCCAGATTACCGTCGTTCCAGGCTCATGCTCTCGTACTCGCCTAGACGGGAATTGAGACCACACTCTCCAACCTACTTTGACCTACCAATGCCGTGGGATTGTAGGGGGCCTTACTGGTTCACATCGTACCCAATGCAGGCATCCATGCCATGGCTGACGCCTAGGCCACAGTCGGACTTGCACCGTGGATCACGTTGTTCACGCTCTCCCCACCGTAAATCTAAGCCTTCCGTGTCACAATCCAAAGCCCCAGAGGAACCTTGTTGCCCACCCTCTCCTCTCCGTTCCACCCGTGCTTTATCACTGAAAGTAGCCCCGATACCGGATACCCCTGCAGCTCCGATATTGCCTGCAGCATCATTCATTTCCGATACCGGTACTGATGATTCGGTATGCCCCGAATCACCTGAGGATCCTTCACCAAAGGCTACAGTGTCTGACAATCTACCGATATCACCTTCTGATGATCTCTCATCATACGGAGATTTGGTCAAGAGGATGGCACATTCCCTGGGCATGTCTATCGTCCTACCCCAACCCTCGGAGTCGGACGCTGTCTTCGATGTCGTGCAGAACGATACCTCCACCTCAATCGCTCTCCCAATGTCGACCGTCCTACAGGCGGCTAAGGCCCCGTGGGACAAGCCTTCCTCTGCTGCAGTGTCATCCAGACGTCTGGATCACATGTATCAGGTCCAGGAAATGGGGGCGGAATTCCTCCATATCCACCCCAAGAGAAACCTAAGTCTTCTCTCACTGGCACTATGCATCAGTCTCAGAAAGTGAGCAGCGATAATGTGCAATCGGGCTCTGCATTACCCGCTCTCCAGCGGGCACAACCCGACGTCGTTGAGACCCAGATACCGGAGCTGCATACAATTGAGTTACCGGACTCGCCAATCCGGCAACTGAACCCCCCGGTATCGGAGGCTTCTGTCGATTTCGGACCAATTTCGGCCTCACCACTTGAAGTTGAGGAAATGGGTCCTCATACTCTGGACACGTTCTCAAAAACAATGTCATCTGCAGTTGCCCTCCGTAGGCACTCCTGGCTGAGGACCACCGCACTCACTGCTGATACCAGGGCGTACATAGAGGACTTACCTTTCGATGGCCAAGGTCTCTTCCATGTGTCCACTGATTCAACGCTCCAGGAAATGGATAAACGCATTAAGGCCTCAAGGTCTCTGGGAGTCTCTGCCTCTTCTAAGCCTTTTCGTCCTCGCTTGTGGTCTCGTTACAGCTCCAGACGCCAATACGCTAAGCCGTCGCCGGATGAAAGTTACAGGCCACGTCGGTCACCATCTGTGAATAGGCAGCAGTACCAGGCCAGACAGAGAGATGTTTCTGGACAGCAGATTGTCAGACCGAAACAACCCAAACCGGGCAAGCAGGGCCTTTGACTTCCGCCTGTCTACCTCTCCCAACCCTACCCGCCTTCAACCATATTTACAGGCCTGGATCACCATTACGTCGGACCAATGGGTCCTTTCCATCTTAGCCAAGGGCTATTCCATCGAATTCATGGAACTCCCACCTCTTCCTATAGTCGTCATCACAACCCCCATCGCCATTCCTCCTAGAGGAGGTCACCACACTTCTGTCAAAGGGTGCTATAGAACCCTTGCCTCTAGATCACCAGGGACTCGGTTTTTATTCCAGATACTTCGTGGTTCCTAAAAGGGACGATGGGCAGAGGCCGATCTTAGACCTTCGCGGCCTCAACACCTATATAAGGTACCAAAAATTCAAAATTACATACCCTTCCCGTCATTCTGCCTCTCCTGTCCCAGGGGTGCTGGATGGCCACCCTCGACCTCGAGGATGCCTATTTCCATTTAACTATCCACCCCGCCCATCGCAAATACCTCCGATTCGCGATAGGAGGCAGCCACTACCAATACAGGAGTCTACCTTTGGCCTCAGCACGGCCCCGAGGGTCTTTACCAAAATGATGTTGGTGGTTGTGGCACATCTCCGCCTCTGTGGCCTAACGGTGTTCCCATATCTGGACGATTGGCTTCTGGTCGCCCCTTCCAAGGTCTCCTCATTCATCAGATATCTCAGGCCCTCAATCTCCTTCATTGTCTGGGACTCAAAA